CACCTCTGAGTTAGCCTGCGAGATGGTGAAAGTGCCATGATGAACATGTTATCATTCCAAGAATCAGTCTAATTCAAAATAATAGATATTTCCTGTTAGATCACTTGTTCTAGCAAATTTACCTGGGTAAAGCGGAAAATGTTGTCAATAAAGAGAAGCACATCCTGTCCTTCAGCATCACGGAAATGTTCAGCCACGGTCAGTCCAGTAAGACCAACACGAGCACGTGCACCAGGGGGCTCATTCATTTGACCGTACACAAGAGCACATTTGCTCTCAGCCTAGTCAAACAGAAGAAATGTATCAATCATCAATACAGATTCAACCAATATAATAATTCAAGTGTAAAAGAAGGTATGATTTGTGAGTCATAAGATGCAACAAACAAAAGAATTATAATGGAATGCCACCTGTTACCTGTTTATCACCAAGCTTAATGACACCACTCTCAATCATTTCTCTGTACAAATCATTACCCTCTCGAGTGCGTTCTCCGACACCAGCAAACACTGAGAAACCACCTGTTAAAATAGAGAATGTGACATCAGATACGTCAAGACACATCAAATCAACACCTGCTCATTGTTATAACAAAAACAAACCATGAGCTTTTGCAACATTGTTGATGAGTTCCATGATAAGCACAGTTTTTCCCACACCAGCACCACCAAAAAGCCCAATCTTTCCTCCTCTTTGATATGGAGCAAGAAGGTCAACAACCTGAGAATCATGGCAACATTAATACACAACAAATCTAGTTTTGAGTTCAAGTGAAACAAGAAAATATAACAAAAGTATATTCCATCTAGGGAAACTTACCTTAATACCAGTTACGAGAATTTGCTGCTCAGTTGCTTGCTCAACAAAGGCTGGGGCTTCTCTGTGAATAGGCAAATAGTGGTCGGTCTCTGTTCAAACAGTTTAACACTGTCAAATTCTGTACCATGTAATCTCAAAACATTGAAAAGTAAGATAGCATATCCTAGATTCTTACTAAGGTCGCCTTTCTCATCAATGGGTTCTCCAATGACATTTATAATACGTCCAAGAGTAGCTCTACCAACAGGAACCTGCAAGTGGAAGAAAGTATGATAAGAAGATTAGATTTGAACGCACTAATTGTCTTAAAAACATTATTTTATCCACATAAACATGAAAACCATCTTCAGTTCATGTATATACCGATTGCCATACTATGTCTGTTTGAAAAACAAGTCGAGATAAAATCACTTTTCCACCATCATTCACATGAAAATGCGCAGATTGAGATACAACAGCGGGGAAATTTTTAGCGTTGCACACATTAAAATTCCAACAGTACAACATAATGGGGACTACACCTACCAATACCATTCGGGTTCCTCCTATTGGAAAGTGATAGATTTATCAGTGTTTTAAGTTTCAAGCAGGTGAAACTGAACTGATTTTTTGCAAAATTTATTTGATGTTAACAATGAAAAAGCCAATGATACAAAATGGAAGAGAATAGCGTGTGGGGAGTGTGAGGATCTACAAATTGTTAGCCATTTCCAATTCAACATCCCAGGCAAACACAATTTCAATTTTAATCAATCCAGACAAACTAGAAAGATAGTGACAATAGACAACAATAATCGAGAAAATCAACCCAAATCTCATCAAATCAGTAGCATTAGCACAGTCAAAACCATATCTTACAGTAATAGGAGAACCAGTGTTGAGAACTTCCTGCCCTCGAACGAGCCCTTCCGTCCCATCCATAGCAATAGTCCTAACCATATTCTCTCCCAAATGCTGCGCCACCTCCAGCACCAAACGGATCGAGTGATCAAGCACCTCGAGAGCCGTCAAAATCGGAGGCAACCCTTCATCGAATCTGACATCGACGACGGCTCCAATCACCTGACAAACCTGTCCGATCGCACCGGCTCCTGTGAACTCATCGGTGATCTTGCCACTTCTTCCCGCGTCCAGTTTAGTGGATGGCGGTGGGGACGGCGGTGAAGCCGCCGCGGCGGAGGTGGCGTACTGAGCCACACGGTTGAGGAGGTAGCCATAAGGGGAAGCGCGAGAAGTGTTAGACAATGGAATCCTGGGGTTGGGGGATGCGATCGGAGATCTGGAAGAAGACCGCCGTGCAGACGATCGGAGCAGAGAAGATAATAGTCTGCGTGAAGCCATCGCTCGCTAGGGCTTCAGAAACTCAGCATAGGGTTCGTTAGATGAGAGCGGAACGCCACTATATGCACAGCTACAGTCCTCGAGATCGGATATTCCCTTCTTTTTTTCCTTTTTTTTTTTTTTTTTTTTTTTTTTTT